ACAGGAATGAAAACAAGGCTTTGAGGGATAGAAATACAGGGTCTTCGATGGATTGTTCAACTGTCGAAATCTTTCCAAAAGACTTTCAGTACAAAAAAACAAACTTTAAAAAAAAATTTCTAAAAAAGAAATTCACAGCCTCATTTTCATCCATGTAAAATTCAGTCGGGCATAAGGTCTATACTGTTCCTTATGTTCTTATAGCTTGTAGTTGGTAGAGTATGATGCTACAAATGCCATGGTTGTGTGTTAACTTTTGAATGGAACCACAGTGTCAAAGTATACAATTTGATGACCACTTTTCTGTCCACACACTTGTGCGTGTTTTGTTTTTTATTTATTTATTTTATGTTATTTTTTAAACCAGTGTGGTTCTTGTAACTATGGTGACGTCATGGTAATGTTTTACATCCAGTTGCTGTCTTTCCACTAGAGTTGCTTCCATTTTTGTGATGCGTGTCACAACTCCAATGCCCTCTGGAGTTCAAAAAGGTTGGTTAAGATTAATATTTGACAGATGAACTCACATTGCAATTGGACACATTAAATAAATATCAATTGTGACATCCTGTTGTGATAGAAATCATCATCTTTAATGTTTACTTTAGTTGCTGTCATTATGGTTACCAGCATTCTTCAACTTTTGGTGAGGACATGAAGTAAATCAAGAAAAAAGTTAGCACACTACAATTGCAAAAAATATGTCCCTAATTTATTAAGACATTCCCATAATGGTAAAGTTTCAAGCCAGCTGGCTCTTTACCTAAAGTGAATTACTAAAAAAAAAAATTTTTTATGGCTGAGTGCCTACAGTGATGTTTTTAGGTGATGTTCAAGTTTTTTTTTTAACTTTTATTACTATTTTATTACTGAGATAATATAGACAGTATTTGAGTCGCTGATATAAGCTGTTGTAAAGACAGGACAATTTCAGTCATTCCTGTAAGTAAATAGACAAGCGATAACTAATTAATATGAACTAATATTAACTATATTAATTAATTCCTTCAGCAGCCCTAATGTTATTGATTGATTGATTGATTCAGTGAGATCATTTTTATCATTTTATTATGATCATTTTATTTTTACCATTTAATTTTATATATATATATATATATATATATATATATATATATACAGTATCTTAATTATTTTAAAAATAATGAATAGTTTTCCAGTGAAACATTTGAAAACCCTAAAGATAGACCAAGATACATTTGCATAGGAAGCAAGACTGCAAAAAAAAGTTAAGACATGTTTTCATAGATTGTGTCTCAAATACAAGTGTATTTTGTCTTTGTGCTCTGGTAGATTTTTTTATTTTTTATTGTTTACACTCAAAATAGGTAAAAATAAATAAATAAATCTGCTGGCATAATAAGTCAAAATACAGATGCATTAAATATACATACTCTAAAAACAATTCTTGCTATCTTGTGTTGCTTCTGAACTAAATCTTTTTTCAAAAATTGTTAGATATTTTAACTGAAAAATAAGACAGAAATAATCTTTGAGAAGACTTTTTGCAGAGTACACTGTATAATCTATAAAAATTGTAATTATAAGATAACTTTTTTGTCCTGCAATTAAAAATGTTTGTTTCTGTTTTCCTTCAACCTCAATAAACAGGAGAGTTTGCAGTCCACCAGAAAGCAGGAACACAAAACCATAAAACAATTATATGAAATCACTTTATTATCTGTGTGTTGGTGATTCCATTTGGCAGGAATGTTACAGTCTAAAATCTGTCTATAACAAGCATGCAGTGAGGCCTACAGATGGAGCGCTCAGAAAACACAGAGGACACAGAAATATCATTTACAACCTCACCTACAGTGCACATCATATGCATGCATACAATTCATCAACAAAGAGAGAGGGAGAAGAATCTACAATGACTTTTTTAAAAAAATGCACCAAATAGGAAACATAATTTTTCCAAAATACAACCACCAAGAGACAGGAACAGGAGCAGATTACAGACAGAAAATCACACCAAGATAATCTATCGTTTTTAACATAGAGGAAACATGTAGGACGATGCAGTAGAACAGTAGACACGTACATTCAGGTAACAACAATGGAATATTTCATAACGTTACTGTGTTAGGCAGTATCTTCATTAGCATCTGAGAGACACGGAATGACTTTGAGTGAATCTATGATTTACATTTAGAGAACATGATGATGACTATGCAATATTTTTTCCTTTACTCTTATGCACTGTTGAATAAGAGTTTAGGGAATGGGTGAACGTTTTGTCATTGATTGTTTTTAGACTTTAAATTTAATTGTGAGATAATTTCATTTTAGGAATCTGTTAAGGACAATCACAAAACCCAAAGTCCAGAGAGCTGAGATGATAATCGCATATCACATCACTTTAGACACTAATGTAAAAGAACAACATTAAAAATAAGAAATAATGGTATAATGGTTCTCACACACAGGAACACTCTTTGGTTTAATAAAACAGGTGATGATAGGATGGGTGATGGGTTTCAGGCAGTATTTACTTTATCAGTGCAGCTGATGGAAATTCCCCACGTCACACAGATCATGCTATGAGAGCGGCAGAATCAAGGACAGTTAATAGTCATGTAGAAAAATCATGGAACTGCAAAAGTTGTGCTCTTTTGATTGTAAAATACACTCTAAATGGCGGAAATGTGAGATTTTAAGTCATTTGCTTGAAAGGTTGCGATTGTATGTTATGCTAATGTTTTTAGCTGAATCTCATCTCTCCGGAAGTGTTACAGCTGACATTGTCACTTCTAGTGAGCAAAGGCCTTAAATACAAGTGGCAGTAAAATCAGACAGCATTCAGGATGATTGACCACTAATATACAATGTAGTATCTTAGCAACTGGCTATTTTGTTTAGCTGTTGAAGAACGCCATTCTAATCAGCTAGCACATCCATATCATAAACATTCATATATTTTAATTAACTTTCTTGTTTCTTGTTTTTAATTAACTTTCTTGTGGTACATGGCAGGACAGAACGCTATGGCATCACTGTGACCGTGTGCTATAAATCGACACTATTTAATTATCTAAACTGGGTTTTACTTTTAAAACCACGGTTTATATGCTTTCTAGAAACTCTGAATAACATTTTTTATTTATATGCACACAAGCCAGTGTGGATCGAATGGAATGTCTGGAATATTTGGAATGTTCAAAACAACAGAATGGCAGCCTGATTCCTAGTATTTTTCTGAATCTTAAAATTTGCCTGTGTTTAGACATACACAATGATCTGCGACTAACAGGTTTTCCTGAACGCATTGTTATTTACAATAATTGTGGACGTAATCTAATGAGAATACAAGCATACTCTATCAAACCATGGCGTAGCTTATCATTTTTTTTCTTAGTAAAAAAAGAGAGAATGGATAATACAATCTGACTCCGCATCTTTCAAATCTGATTTTCTCATTATTGAGGAATTCAGTCCCGCTGTTTTCCCTCTTTTCAATGCAGTTACAACAACAAGAAATAATGTCATACATAAACTAGCAACAAGCAAGCATAAAAACACAAGTCAGATCCTTTCGTCTCTCATTAAACAAGAGCCAGGCTTCATTTAGAGATCCTAAAAAGTAGGAATCACGCAACTTTCTTCTCCAGTTTACTTTTACTAAGCTCATTTGACTGATACTAGGAAGACGACACAGCATTTGGACACACACATTCTCAAATAAGCTGAATACATAATCATGAAGATTGTCTGTTATTGCTGATTTGGGAGCAGAGTCTCGTATACAACCAACGGACACAGGACATCTTCATTCAGAAACAAATATTGCACCGTTGTCACTGTCTGTTTACGCAATGTGTGCTCACAACCACATTGTGAGAGCTAACGTAAATAAATGTAGACACTAAGACCTAGATTCTACTGTACAGCAGTGAAGATGAAGAGATTATATATTTATATATGTATATATGTATATAGCCCTATTGATCCAATTTGTAGTTTTATGTGATCGATGTCAACCCTCACATTCTTAAGTACTGTAAAAAGCACAAATAAGTCAATTCAAGATGAGCGCTAAGCGCTAAAGTTTCACTCGCGGCGGCTAGCAAACTCATGTGATTTTATTTTAATCGATCAAATCCAGTTTACTAGAGTGTGATAGGAATGTGCGTGACAATGTAATGATGTACGTACTGTATAGTTTCTTTTTCTCTAACGGAAGGTCTACAGAGATGTGAGCAACATGCCATTTAACACTGGTGTCTGTCAGACAACAAAATCCAAAACCAGAGTTATTGCCTTAAATTTCAGTGTATTTTAGCTAAAAATGCCAAATGAAATGGGATACAGTGTACTAATAAACAAAGAAAAAATGTGAGCATGCTTAGAGGAAAACATCCAGCAAAACAAACAGATCATGTGTGATATCCTACGTTCTCTTCCATATTAGTTTTCAGTCATATTAATCAGATATGATGTGATAATTCATGATGGCAGCAGGAACTGGTTACTATTCGGAAGTATGGATGACAAATTAATCTGTATACAGCATATATGTGTAAGTATACCACATGGGTTCATCTGTAATATCTATAACAGAGCAACAATCAAAAATATGATATGACTGGAGAAATCTCTCAAAGATAAATTTATGGCTTTTACTCATAGTCATTGTTTATGTATATATATATATATATATATATATATATA